CTCCTATGTTTTTACTTAATTTTTTTACATAAATTGTTAGGTAAACCAAATATTTTAGACTATCTAGTACATTTTTTTCTTTAGAAAAAAATATGTAATAAAAGTCCAGTCATAGTAACACAAAAAATGATATTTATTCAGTTTTAATTTAAAAAGAAACATGGTGCTTGTAAGATGTAAACATAATTCGGAGAAGATGGTTCTTAATATTTCCAGATATTCTTCTAATTACACCAACTATGGTTGCAATCAGTTTTGAAACTGCAATAGCTTATTACTAATTATCAAAATTAACTATATAAATTAAAATTATATTAAAATTATGATTTTAAAACTCTTTTTCTTAAGTAATTAAACTTATATTTAATGTAATAGGAAAACAAGAAATTACTCTGTATAACATTTAATTCATACCATGTTTAGGACATCAAACATATTCTAAACAAGTTTTTTTGTCTGAAGCTTCTAAAATTGTACTTTATTTAATTTTGAAAGTGATAATTTGTCACGACTCAAAAGTGGACGTGATGACACTCTTCTTATCCCACCAAGGCAAGTAAGCCTAATAACCAACTAATAAGATTAAGTGCGGAAATAAGTTATAATTGAAAGTTAAATAACATATTATAGCACGTATAATAAGTCAACTTAACAGAATCCACAAAACCGGGTTGTCACATGAACAACCCTCTAATGTATAACAGTTCATTTCAAAGATAAGCAGAAGTCTCAAATTATGTTGTCTCTAAATAATAAAAGGATCATAAATAGGAATAAGAAGGTCCTATGAGATGACATACCTCAAAAAAATCTCCATAGGAATCCTAGGAAACAAAGATGGTATGATATATTACAATGATTTGGCCTCGTAACCTAAAAAATTCAAAAGCAAGGGATGAGTACCAAACCACACGGTACTCAACAAGTAAACATCAAAACACAAGCTAAGGAAATAGAATATTGGTACTTCGTGCACCCTATGGAACCTTAACAAATACAACCTTCGGAAAACCAACTAAACCTAAGAGTTGAAAGTTTAAATAGCACATAGAGAAATAACAACACTCCAATGATTTTTGATCAACAATACATAAGATTAAGTTTATCAATTACAATTTTCACAAAATTCATTCACAATTTCACAAATGATATCGCTGTCAATATAATAAAATGTAATGCCAAGTGTAGAGATGCATCTCAAACCTAGATATACACATATATTTGTCTTAGATCAATGGGGAATATATTTTTCATTGCATCCATCGCAACATATGTCACAATCCCATTAATAAGTTCTACCATTGTGTGTGAAAAGTCACTAGATAATAGAATCTCTCACAGCGTGTGAGTATCCCTCCAAATATAGAATTTATCGCGGTGCGTGACATGTGCATCGAATAAGCTACATCCTTTTTAATTTTCACTTATTCCTCAATTTACATACAACTTGTCAAATTCATGTGTGAAAAACAAAGTAAATGATATCTTTACATAAATAGTGACGACATGACAATTTTCATAACAATAAACAATTCACAAAATCATACAAAATAAAAATGAATCAATCAAACACCAACAAAGTTAATAACATTTCCTTTTATTACCCTTTTTCATACATTTGAATTATTCAATATGGACAAGTGAACTCATCCACAAGTTCAATTACTCCACAACACATACCACAAAGAAATATATGATTCTATACACCTAATAAGGGTAAAGAAATTGAGTTGCCTCAAAAAACGAACAATAAATCTAAGACTTGAGTCTTCCTATTTATTTGGGCTTCCAAATAAATTAAATCCAAAGCTTTAATCAAGTTTCGAAATCTTAATTACAATCGATAGGTCAAATACCATATTTCCTTTGTTTTAAGCCTAGGTTAAATTATAGTTTCTCAACACTTTATAACCATAATAGTTGTTGTATCATATAATACACCCGTTGTTTAATTACCTATCTCCATACATCAAAACTCGAATATTCATTTTGATATATATAGATAGGTAATTAAATATTTGGTGTATTATATTATTCGGAAAAAATTAAGGCATTAGTATTTGGAGAAACTATGACTTAATCCTAGGCTTGAAACATAGAAGATATGAGATTTGAGCTATATATTGACTTGAAGATTTAGGAACTTAATTATAGAATTGTATTCCATTTAATTGGAAGCCCAACTAAAGTGGAAGGCTTGAGTTTTTCAGTAATTGTTTGATTGTTTAAGGAAAGAAGATTAGTTAACCCTTATTAAGTGTAAAAACTGTGTATTTCCTTGTCGTATGTGTTGGGGAGTATCCACACTTGGTGATGGGTTGATTGACCATATTTAATAATTCTAATATATGAAAAGGTGTTATAACAGGCAATGTGATTAATTACTGGCGTGTGATGTGTTGAGATTTGTTTTGATAGGAGTATGGGTTAACTTTTTGATGTTGTATCATTATATTGTTGTGTTAAATTGTATATTGTTATGAAAATTTTTATGTCCTCATAATTGATGTTAACATGTCATTTGCATTGGTTTTGAGACATGGTTGTTACAAGTATTTTGTGAATTGAGGAGCAATAAGAAATTTAAGAGGATGTAACATTTCAAGGGACATGTCATGCACCACAACAGATACTATATTTTAAGGGATATGTCACATGCCTTACAAATTTTGTTATCGAGCGATGTATGACACACTATAATGGATAATATTTAAGGGTTGCTTCAGTGATGGATGCAGGGAGATATGTCCTACGTGTGTCCCAGACTGAGAGACATTGGGTGTCTACTTCTTGGTGATTTATGAACTTGATATTATTTATTGTTGATCCAAAATCATTGGAGTGTTGTTATTGATCTATGTGCTACTTAAACTCTTCATTGTTAGGTTGAGTTGGATTTATGCAGTTTGTCGTTGTAGAGGTTTTGTTGGAGTGTAAGGAGTACCTATATTCTATTCCCTTTGCTTGTGTTTAGAGGATTACTTATTGAGTACCATGTGGTTTAATAGTCACCCCTTTCTTCAACATTTTTTTAGGATACGAGCTTGGATCTTGGTATTATTTTCTATTCTCATCTTTTTTGACATTTCCTGCGGAGTATTTTTAAGGTAGTTGTTGTCATCTCAGTGTACCTTCTTACTCATATTTATGATCTTGTTCTTCTTTAGTGACAATATCATTTGATACTTGTATTTTCTTTAAAATCATTTGTAATACATTACAGGATTATTCACGTGACAACGAGTTTTTGGGGATTTAATTAAGTTGACTTGTTATCCTTATTATTACTTATTATTAAACATTCAATTGTAGTTTATTTTTGCACTTTATCGCGTTAGTTGGGTATTAGGCTGACTTGTCTTCTTGGGATAAGATGAGTTCATTTTTGAGTCAGAGTGATTCAAAAGGGTTGAATATGGTGATGACGGGATGATTTATTTCAAGGATGTTGGAATAATTATCTTGAACATAGGTTAGAGGGACTTCATAAATGTGGTATCTTTTTTTCGTTTAGATACCAAGACAATGGGAATAGTACTTTTGTTATATAGTTAATATATGGACTGGTTCGACAATTGGAAGTGGAATAATAAAAGTGATAGCTAGATAATGAAGTTTGTATTATTGAAAAATACAATTTGTAAAGTTTTCATAGAATGTGTGGATCACTTAGCTAATGATGAGAATGATATTGCTCCAATTAGGTTACAATCTCAACTGAGATTTCATAGATTTAGTGTATATCAAAGAAGGTCACTATAAAACTATTATAATAGTATCAAAGCTTACTTTGTTAGTGTTATGGAGCATTTTAATTTTGTCATTGACATGATATGTGAAAGAGTGCATATCGCTTTTGATAAGACTGCATATCAACTGGTATAAATGTAGAAGTTATTTGGATATGATCTTTTCAATAGGTATGAGGTATTCTTGGGGTGGATCTTGCAGATTTTAATGATTATGTACTAGTGGTATGTAAAAATTGATACGTTGATTGTCAAATGTTAATACAGCCTATTTAGGACTAATTTTATTACCAACTTGTATAATAAGATTCTATGTTACATCCATATTTTATAATCCGATTAGTGTGTTACTACGAGTGATTAGGTTAAGTATTATTTATAAGGAAGATCTTAGTGGTGAATTGTTGGTACTATATTAATGTACTAGCTCGTGAAGTGTATCCTACTAATTCTAAATGAGAACTAGTGATTATATTGTAAAATCCAAGGGAATGGATCGATATAGGCATGAAAATATTCTCGGTAATGAAAATTGTTTACCTGATGAATTTTATTTCCTTTTCTTGCGGCTCTTACATACTATTGTTTTCTTCTAAGTTCTTATTTGAATTTGTATATTAAGTGTTTGTGGGAAAAATCGTTTAGGTTATCTTGTAGACCTTTTATATTAAAAAAATAATTAAAATCCCAATCAAAGTAACACCCAAAAAGATATACATACATTTTAAATCTAGATATTGTTTGTATTATGACCAACTACGGTTGCAATAAGTTCAGAAAGTTCAATAGCTTATTATTGATTATCAAAATTAACTATATAATTAGAAATTATATTAAGATCATGATTTACAAACTCTTGTTCTTAAAAAACCAAACTTATACTCAATGCAATAGAAAAACAATAATTTACTATGTATACCATATAATTAGTACAATGTTTAGGGCATCCGACATATTATATACATGATTTTAAGTTTCAAACTTCTGAAATTAACTTTATATAGATTTAATAGTGGTAATTTGTCACTACCGAAATTTGGCATGATGGAAATTGTATTTTCCCACAAACACAAGTAAGCCTAATACCTAACTAATATATTAACTAAAGTTCAATATATAGTAATAATATAGATAACATGTAAACTTAACTAAATCCCTGAAACATGATGGCCACATGAACAAGCCTCGAATGTATTAATTATTTGAAAGAAAAACACAATTCTCAAATGATGTTGCCACTAAATTAGAAGAAGAACATAAATAGGAGTAATAATGTCTGTTGAGATGAAAAATAGCTACCTTAGAAATATATCCATAGGAAGCCTTGAAAAGAAATAAAATAGAAAGTATTGCAAGGATTCGGGCTCGTAACTTACAAAAATGTAGAAGAAAAGGGTGACTATCAAACCACAGGATACTTTTCTTGTAACCTTCACAAGATAATTGAACAGAATATAGGTAGTCCTTACACCAACGGAAACTCCATAAGTACAACATGCATAAATCAGCTCAACCTAGTTCAAAATTTCAATGCCATATAGATCAACAATACCACTCAAATAATTTTGGATCAATAATACATAGGATCAAGTTCATCAATCAAAAGTTCAACACAAAGGCACTCGCAATATCACAAATTATATAGATATTGAATTTAATGATATGACATGTTAGTATGGGATTCATGTCTTACCTTGCAATACAAACACATTGTTTCTCAGTTACGGATCCATGGAGGACATATCTATCATAGCGTACAACATAACCCTCGATTAATATATCCATTGCGGCGTGTGTCATGTACCTTAATAATAATATTTCTTTTAGCGTGTGACACATCCCTAAAATAGTTATAGCATTCGACACGTCCCTTGAAATATTGTATCCATTGCACCCTGCGAAATGTCCCTTGAAATGATATATCCTCTTTTTTTTCTTATGATTTACTCAATTCACTTAACACTTGTCACAACCGTGTCTCAAAACTAATTCAAATTACATTTTAACAAAAATAATGAGTAGATGAAAATTTTCATAACAATGAACAATTTAAAACACAATCGTGATAATATCAAAAATGAATCAACAAGCCTTTAAACACCTCTCTCACCAAACACACTAATAATTAATCACATTGGTTTTTACTACCCCTTTTTAATACTTTAGAATATTTAAAAATTACTATTCAATGCATCACCAAGTTCCATTATTCCCCAACACATACCAAAAGGAAATGCATTTCTATACTTGTAACAAGTGTTAAGAACTACACTTGCCTTAAACAATCTAACAATTCTATGAGACCTGAGTCATCAAGTTTTGTTGGGCTTTCAAATCAATGCATTTTAAATCTAAAATGAAGTTCCTAAATCTTGATGCCAATCAGTAGGTCAAATCTCATGTTTCCTATGTTTTAAGCATAGGGTTAAGTTTTAATTTCTCCAAACACTACAACCCTAATAGTTTTCGTATAATATAATACACCAAATATTTAATTACCTATATCCATATATAAAAAATTGAATAGTTTGTTTTCATATGTGGAAAGAGGTTATAAATATTTTGTGTATTATAATATATATAAAATATTAGGGGTGCAGTGTTTTGAGAAATTAAGACTTAACCGTAAGATTAAAACTTAGAAAATATTAGATTTTACCTATTGATTGGCATCAACATTTAGGAATTTTATTATAGATTTGGATTCCATTTACTTGGAAGCCCAACTAAAAGTGAATACTCAAGTACTAGAGTAATATTTAGATTGTTTGAGGCTAGTGGATTTGTTAACCCTTGAGAAATGTATAGAATCATGTATTTCCTTGTTGTATGTGTTCGAGTGTAATGGAACTTTGTGATATGTTAACTTTTTAATATTGGATAATTATAGTGTATGAAAAGGGTAATAAAAGGAAATGTCATTAATTATTGGTTTCAGAGGTGTAGATAATAGTTTTGAAAGGAGTATTGGTTCATTCTTTTGATGTTGTATAATGATAGTGTTGTTGTGAAATGTACATTGTTATGAAAATATTCATCTCTGTATTATTTGTGTTAAGGTGTCATTTGCATTAGTTCTGAGACATGGTTGTGACATGTTTTATGTAAATAGAGAATGAATAATAAATTTTACAGGATGTACCATTTCAATGGAAGTGTCATTCGCCACGAGGAATAACTATATTTTAAGTAATGTGGCGCACGCCGTGAAAAAATCAATTATCGAGGGACGCAAAATGAATTTTTTTTAGGACCCTTTACATGTCATGATGGATGCATGGACATATATGTACCTCATAATTCCCATACTAAGAGACAACGGGTGTGTGTCTCTAGGTCAAACATATATAACTATACTTGCATTGCAATGAATATCTATATTTTTTGGGAAATTGAGAGTGGATTATTGTGAAACATTTGATTGATGATCCTATTTATTGTTGAGTCAAAATCATTGTAGTGGTTTTATTGATCTATGTGCTACTAAAAATGTGAACTGATAGGCTGAATCTATTTTATGCAGGTTCTGTTGTAAAGTTCTATTGGGGTGTAAGGGGTACCTGTATATATTCCTTATCTTGTATATAGAAGGTTACTTGTTTATTACTGTATTATTTGGTAGTAAACCAATTTTCTACTTTTCCGAGGCTTCCTATGGATAGTTTTGTAAGGTACTTTAGTGACAACATAATTTAAGACTTGTATTTTTCTTTCATATCCATTATAATACATTAGAGGCTTGTGTATGTGACAACAATGTTTTGGATAGTTAGTTGAGTCTATGTGTATTCTTTATTATAACATGTCATTAAACTTTCAATTATGGAATTTTTTCTGCACTTTATCATATTATTTAGGTATTAGAAATACTTCACTTTGTGGGATAAAATTAGTACCATCACATACATTTTTGAATAGTCACCAAATTACAGAAGAGAAATAGGCTCATAGGTCTCATAGTACACAAGTCGAGTGTAAGTATAGTCTCGAGGATCAGTACGGAGATGTAAGTACTTATCTTCAAGATACTATAGAGACTATAAGGACAAATCTTCACTTCTTGAATCTTTATCGTGCATCCTTTGTCCGTTCTAATTCTTATTGATCCCTTCCTTCTCTCTCACTTATAAAAATGAATCATGTGTGATTCCTCATTTGAGTATTTTATGTCGTGTGTGGCTTGGAAGCAAGATTTGGTATTGAAGTTACATACTTATAGGAATGATGTGTGGTCATATTCAAAATGGTAAATAATTCAAAGGGATTAAATAAGGTTATTAGTCATGATGCATTTCAAGGATATTTTAAGGACAACTTTGAACAACGGTTTGAGAGACTTTATGAACGTGTTATCTTTTTTAGGTTTGTTACCTAGTCAGCGGGAATAGTACTTTTGTGGTGTAGGGAATAGCTGGATTTATTTGACAATCAGAAGTGGAATTAGAAAAGGGATTGCTAGATAACGAATATTGTAACTTTGGACAGTCCTATTAGTAAAGTTACCATAACATATATGAATCTTTTAGCAAATAATGATATTGATGTAGTGCTAATTGAGGATAGAATATCTATTAAGATTCACAGATTTAGTGTATATCAAAGAAGGTCATTATATTACTACTACAATGCTATTGATACTTACTTGGATAGAGTTATGAAGGGTGTTAATCGTGACATCGACCCGATCTATGAAAGAATACGTATCACTTTTTGTTAGATATCAAACTAACTTAATGATTTAATACGACTTCTCAACATGTATAAATGTATGAGTTATTTGAGTACGATCTTTTCAATAGGTATGAGGTATTCTAGTGGTGGATCCTACAGATTAAGTGAAAATGGATACATTGATGGTCAAATATGAATACTACTTGTTTAAGGGTTATCACTTGTAGAATGCGATTCAATGTTGTATCAATATTTTAGAAGTCGACTAGTGTTATACTATGAGTTATTAGGTTAAGAATTATTTATAAGTAAGATGTTAGTTGTGAATCATTGGTACAGTAGTAATTTTTTAGGTCGTGCGGTGTATCCCGAGAATTCTAAATGAGGACTAGTATTTCCATTGTAAGCTCCAAGGGAGTTGATAGATATTAGAATGAAAACATTCTATGTAAAATAAAATTGTTTACTTGATGAATTTTATTTCTTTTTCTTGTCGTTGTTACATGCTATTTGTTAATTAGAAGTGAAGTAGAAAATATGACCTAGAGAAATATATCAAAATTAAAACTAATGGAACAATCTTGCATCTATACATGAGATTACATTGTTGTATCATGAAATGGGGGTCTTCAGATGATTTGAAAAAGAAAAATATTTTCTCAGCATTCATACACAACCCATGATTTCTTTTCGATTATTAAAAATTCACATGATTAAAATTGGTACTTCTTTAGTTACAAGATAAATCAGTCACATTAAATTGTATCATCAGAAAGGCAAAACCTGAAGAATCAACAACCAACTCTTTTATTATGAATTCCATATAGAACAAATACAACATTGAGTCTCACTACAAGAACATACAAAATAAAATCATTTAGTTCATGACAAAAATAAGTTTGTTTGTTTGAATTAGAGAACAAAGACATCAAATCACATTTTTTAATGAAAAAAAAAGCACATACCTTACTCTGCTCAGATCTAGAAATGTGATTTGGAAATAAAATGGAGCTTCTCTTCTTCCATAAAAGATAACCATTGAGAAATGAAGAAGAAACTCTGGATTCCATTCTTTGGATCTAGAGGCAAATTTAGATTGATTTTGTTTTCTTCTTGGTTTTTATTTTATTTTGTATATGATGTTTTTGGTGGGCCACATCTTTTAAGCTATCTTGTAGACCTTTTTTTTTGAAAAAATAATAATAAAATTCCAATCACAGTAATGCCAAAAAAATACACATACATGTTAAATTTAAAAAGAAACGAGGTGCTTGTAAGTTGTAAACACAATTTAGAGAAGGAGCTTTTTAATAATTCAAGATATTCTTCTTATTATGAACAACTGCAGTATTCATATGTTTGAAAACATTAATAGATTATTAATAATCATCAAAATTAACTGTATGAATAGAAATTAGATTAAAATAATGATTTTCAAACTCTTCTACTAAAAAATCAAACTTACATTTAATGCATTAAAAAGCAACAAATTACTATGTATAACATTTAATTCATACCATGTTTAGGGCATCCAACATATTCTATGCACGATCTTAAAGTTACATATTCTAAAATTATATTTTATTATATTTAATAGTGATAAGTTGTCACAAACCAAAATTGGAATTGATGGTACTCGTTTTATTCCACCATGACAAGTCAGCCTAATACCTAACTAATACGATAAAGTGAGGAAATTACCATAATTTAAAGTTTAATAACACGTAATAATACGGATAGAAAGTCAACAAAACTAAATCCCCAAAACCTGATTGTCATATCCACAAGCCTCTAATGTATTACAATTTATTTGAAAGAAAACACAAGTCTCAAATAATGTTGTCACTACATTAGAATAAGATCATAAATACGAGTAAAAAAGTCCACTGAGACGACAAAAAGAAACCTCCAAAAAATATCCATATGAAGCCTTAAAAAAAGAAGAGAATAGAAAGTATTACGACGATCCAAGCAACAATTGACTTAGCAAGAAATCTTTTAAACACAAGCTAACAGAGTAGAGTATAGATACTCATTCCTCCTAATTAAACCTCCAAAAATAAAATATGCATAAAACAAGCTCAACCTATCCATTCTATGTTTTTAAGAGCACATAGATAAATAAAAACAGTACAATGATTTTGGATCAATAGTACATAGCATCAAGTTCATAAAACCCAAGTTTCACACAAATGCACTCACAAATTCACAAATTATATAGATATGGAATGAAATATAATGCAATGTCAAGTATAGTAGTATATCTCTTATCTAGCGATATATACCAATTGTCTCATCGTTCTAGACTAATAGTGGACATATATGTACAAGCATCTATTATGACATACAATACAACCCTCGATAAAAAGATCCGTTACAGTGTGTGACACATCCCTCATTTATATAATCTATCACGGTGTACGACACGCCCCTCAATATATAATATTCATCACAAAACGCAACACGTCCTTCGAAAGTGTTTGTCCTCTTAAATATCTTATTATCCCTTAACTCAAATAACTCTTTCGGCACCCATGGCTCGGAATCAATGCAAATGACATGTTCACACAAATTATGAGGAGATGACCATTTTAATAAAAATGATAAATTCAAACCAACACAATTGTGATATAACATAAAAAATGAATCAATAAGCCTTTCAAAATCATTCTCAACACATCAGACACCAATAATTAATCACATTGCCTTTTACTACCCCTTTTTCATATATAAGAATTATTCAATATGGATAAGTAAACCCATCACCAACTATCATTACAAATACACGATTCTTTAAACTTAACAATGGTTGAGAATCCACTTGCCTCAAACAATCTAAAAGTTTTTATAAGACTTGAGCATTTCATTTTCGTTGGACTTCTAAATCAATGCAATCAAAAGTCATAATCAAATTTCTAAATCTTGATGGAAATCAGTAGGTCAAATCTTATCTTTCCTAGGATTCAAGCCTGGGGTTATGTCTTAATTTCTCCAAATACAAATACGCTAATAGTTTTTTGTATAATTTAATACCCCCAATATTTAATTACCTACATCCATATATCAAAACTCAAAAAATTATTAGATTTGATATATGGAGATAAGTAATTTAATATTAGATGTATTATATAATAATAATAAATCTATTAGAGTTCTAATGTTAGGAGAAATTACGACTTAAGCCTAGGCTTGAAACTTAAAAAACATGATGTTTGACCTAGTGCTTGACATCAAGATCTTGAAACTTTATTATACATTCAGAGTGCATTGACATGGAAGCACAACGAAAGGGGAAGGCTCAATTCCCAGAGTAATTGTCGTATTGTTTGAGGCTAGTGGATTTGTTAACCCTTGTTAAGTATATTGAATCGTGTAATTATTTGTTTTATGTGCAGAGGAGTAATGGAACTTGGTGATAAGTTAAATTATCCATATTTAATAATTTTAATGTATGAAAAAAAGATAATAAAAAGGAAACTTTGATTAGTTATAGGTGTGAGATATGTTGAGAATGGTTTTGAAAGGCGTATTGGTTCATTTGTTTGATGTTGTATCATGATTGTGTAGTTGTGAATTGTACATTGTTACGAAAATATTTATCTCCTCATTATTTGTGTGAAAATGTCATTTGCATTGGTTATGAGACATTATTTTGACAAGTGTTATGTGAATTAAGGAATAATAAGAAATTTAAGAGGATGAATCATTTCCAAGGAAGTATCAAACGCAACGACGAATACTATAATATAAGGCACGTGTAGAATGCTGCTACAGATTCTATAATCAAAGATGTATCACACTCTATGACTAATTTTATTATTGACGGCTATTTCACACACCGCGATAGATGCATGGACAGATATGTCCCTCATGGGTCCTGAACTGTGGAACACAGAATGTGTATCATTAGGTTAGATATGCATTACTATATTTTGCATTTTATTTCATATTAATATATTTTGTGAACTTTTGAGGGCTTATGTTGAAAGTTGTTGTAACAAGCTGCAAGTACACCCTAGAAGAATGAAAAACTCTTGAGTCGTCACACGACGTACTTGACCTCACGGAGGTCTTGCACAAACCTCTTAGCTATCATTCATTACATAAAATATGAAAATTAGTGCAGAATTAAAACTTTTTACAACAATATAAATAAGAAAACTCTTTTATAAGAATACTAAGTAATAAGTCTCATCGTCACAAGCCAACATAAATACACATCTTAAATATCTTAGGTTCACAGACCTTTACACTAAAAGTAGTACTTAATAAGTCTTATACAGATATTAAAAAAGAAATAAAGAAACATAGACTATGTCCTCGAATATATGAGGACATATCGAGTCTTGATCGAGTCAACTTCCCAAGTATTGCCTTCTTGGAACCTTCACTTGCCTTCAACCTATACTTATAGAGTGTAGAAGAGTATGGAGTTAGTACAAACATTGTACTAAGTATGACATTATTCAAAAACACATGAAACAAAGGACATTTTAGTTGAAATAAAGCTATAATACTATTTAGGTAAAACCTTTATGAATATAGTCAGAAAATATCAATTAGAACATCATTTAACACATAGGATGAAACTTCCGTGTTTTCAACATAAGCCTACACTTTACAATAAACTTATTTCCCTGGAAGTTTTCCTACCAATAGTTAATTTGCGACTAACTAAGGTATGACATGAAGAAATCATCCATACAATCGCTCCAATACACACCTAAGTGATTCTTAGGACTACCAAAGATAAGCATACTTCATTTCACTTAACAAGTGAACATTCAATATCAAGGACACTAGAGGAACATACTCGCATTTAAGCATATAAGAACCATCCTCCAAGGCAACCCCAAAGTTACACTTAAGGCAATGTGAAAGTAGAATCCCCTACTACTACATCCACCTTAGTGCTACTTGTGGATTCCCTTAGACTAGGTACATCACATTCATCATCTACATAATCTTCATAAACCTTACACATACGTCATCATACTTCAAAAATCATAGACATAGAATCAACATGCTTTACTTTCATTAGACATAAAGTTACATTACTTCATTCACATCAAATAATGACCCATTCATACATTTCATTTTCACATAAGGAGGCAAAAAAAAAACTCCTCCAAATGCCTATGTCACTACCCTCAAGTACACCCTAGAAGTTAGAGTGTCGTTGTGTTGCCACACGCAAATGAGATTTCAAGAAGTCCCATCTAAGCCACTCGTATCATTCATTGCATAACAAACATACTAAAATGAGTAAGAATTTAAAATTTCTTCACACACGAAGAACTTTTTCTATAATCATTACACAAGCGGAAGACTTTCATTTAAAATATTAAACCTTTACAACATCTCCTTGAACCATCTAAACTTTACAGTATATAAACCTTGGGTCTAAGCCCATACAAGACAATAAAACAAAGACAAAGACATAAGGGAACATGTGTGGATATTGCCCCCGAATCGATGAGGATTCACCAATAATTCATCTCTAAACTTTAGAAACCCTATCCATCCTACATGGCACATCAAGACTTCCAAATCCCTACTCTTTAGTAAAAAAGGGAAAAGAAGGGGTTATCACATTAGATGTACTAAATATGGAAGCCATTCAAAAACCATGAAAAAGGACATTTAGTACATAACATGCTTTTCATGAATTTTTTTTAAAACATCATACTATAAGCATAAGAAAAACATTTAACAACTTAGAAACACATAAAATCATTTAAGCAAATAGTCACACTTTTTAAGAAATTATTATAGTGATCTTACTTCAATGTAAAGTGGTATTATTCACTGTTACAGTGAAGTTCCTTAGCTTCACTTTGCACACCCTTTTGGCATATAATTCCCTCACTTAAAGCTACCCTAAGAGTCGCTTAAGTAACAGAAAGAGAGACCACCCATACACCCTCTCTAGGAACACCTAAAATGATCGTTAAAACCACCCATTATGAGATCAACATATATTTACAAGACATCAAACATATGAAAATAAGATCCTACTACCAAAGGTGATTATAAGGTTCACTTGAGTGAGTTCTGAAGCGACCGGCCATACTATCTCTTACACACACT